ATTATCTATAATTAACTGGAAAAGAATATAATGTTTATTTGAAAAACGATCATTTGATCGCTATAGGTAGAAATAGGTATGTATCAAAATGTCGGTAGGTTTAGTGTTAATCAAACCAATAAATAATCGTTCATTTCAAATGGTAGTTCTTATCGATTCACCATGTAGGCTCGAACTGCGCCACATCTGAACTGACACTCTACGTATACACATACGACGACCAAATTCCGACTCTTACTCGATTTTTACCCGCATATCTACGTACAGTAATTTAAAAATATTGGATTGGTACATACGAAATTTTGTTCGATAATAATATTTAATCATTTAACAATGTACATATACATATGTAATATATATGTAAATTAATTGAAAGGACAACTTGATTTATAATTTTAATATATAACATTTGATGAATCGTGATTCGAGTATTAAATTGTTGGATAAAAAGCTATTAAGCTGTATGGGATTAAAAAGCCTAATAATTGCCGAGACATTCTTCAGTGAAAAATGATGGGACAATGACTAAGCACTTGGGTTAATTGTGCCGGGGAACATTTTCTGCATTATAAAAATCAATTAGAGAAGAATCCATTAAAAGTCAAGTGTGTAATAAAATACGATCGTTAAGAATAAAACATACGTACTACGTACACGTATACGTACATACATAAATGCATATTATATCCTATCAAACAATCTTTCAAGCTCGTAATTTAATACAGAATGAAAAAGAAATCAATCTTACGAAATCGATGAAATTAAACATTTTCAGTATAAATTAATTGTTTAATATAAAAAAACAAACTTTACAAGGACTAAACGAGGAGTATCGTACTACGCACAGTTTCAACTGAGCGTGTGCGAATTTTCTTTTCTGCAACAGTAAAAAAGGGAGAGCACGTTGCTTTGACTACGTTTGAAAACGAAAAAAATTCACAGTAAAGGCGAGTTAACAGAAACAACAAAACGGGATACCGTCGAAAAATGTTCCATCAAAGGAACGCTGTTATATACAAGCCTAAAACAAAGTTACGCAATTTGATACAGATGATGTGC